AATGTCGGTGGAAATTAAAAGAGCAATTTTCCAATTGAACAAAGACGGGGAAAACTGGGAAGGCGAGGAGGAGTTGGCCACCAAAGGAAGCAAAGATCAAACAAAGATCGAACGTGTTTTGGGTGCAAAAGTCAATTAATCATTAGAGAAAAACAAAGCGAACAACAAAAGCCGATTCCATGTTGCATGTCTCTCGGTTTTTGATGAGGCACAGGAAGTCGAATGTTTGTTTTCAGTTTAGCAAATCCAAATCCAAAGTAAAAGTCCAGAGCTGTGACAATGGCAAAGTTGCATTTTGTGCAATTAACGAACATTTTCCAGATGCCGGGGACACGCTTTGGTTAAGGCTTTTCCGAGCTCCAACTGCGACTCCTGTGATCCTCGCCAAAAATTCCAACAAGTATCCCAATTTCAATTTGAGCTTTGCAGTCTACTTGGCTCAGGGCAAACTCGTTTTTGTTTGTAGTGCTGTGATGCCTTTTTAATTGCTCTGTGTAAAGTTACTTTGTTTCTTTTTTCCCGCCTTTATGCGCCACTATAACTAGGGTGCCCCCACCCATTGAGTCATACGAACATATAGATATGAGTTGGCTCAGTTCGGGCAGTCACTCAGTTAGTCTGTCAAACGAGCGGCCGTTCATATCAGCTTGTTTTTTCATTTGCGAGGACTTTACATAATCGAAACCAGGCGACCTAAAAATAAAGGAAAAACTTGATATTGAGCAATTTAGGTTGGCCAATTAAAAGCAAATTGGGGGCATGAGATCGGTAAAGCTACCAGATTGGGTTTATATGGAGGGCTTACATCCCAAGAGTCTAGCGATTGATTTCAATTAGCTGTGTTAAGTAAACAAAAAACCTTTGCATACCATTTAATTAATCTGTCAAGAAAGGTATAATTAAAATTTGTAACAATAGATCACTAAAAGCATTAAGAGTTAATGGATAAGTAAGTTATTTGTTAGGAACTCAGCAACTTAGCAAGTCTATCCAGTTTCCAACCAAAGATCATTAAATACAGATATATCTTGACATTATCTTCAACTCAAGCACAACTGTCGTTTAATTGTCACTGATCTATCGCAGACATCTTAGCCCAATTGATCTTATCTCCTGAAAAAGATCACTTTGACTTGTCGTCAGCTGATCACACAAATGATGGTATCGGCAAGTTGAAGATCACTTTGGTTTCATTAACCCCGAATCAATCCAGACCACCTGAAGATCACCCATCCGCCGTGAACCTTTCACACTTCCAACCAAAGTGGAAATGGAAAACGAAAGTGAACCGAGGCAACCAAAAACCAACCAAGTTAGATACAAATCGAGACTCTAATTGTTGGACTGTCTTCCTCGGTTTATGGCTTGTCACAGCTTGACGCTGGTTTAATTGAGTTGCGAATAAAATAGAGCTGTAAACATATCAATTACCCAGTCGACCTGCCGGTGCCCGAAGCATTCGTTTTGGCCCAATTATCGTCGGGCGACAGACACCGACTTTATATGTACATATCTCTCTTACGCACGGCAGATATTACCCATTACCCACTGCCCACTCTTCCCCGATTTTTTACCACTCTCAATTATTTCGCCTGCTTACTCTCGTTTCCTCTGTTTACTTGCCGCAAATGCAATTGCAATTGCAACTGCAACTGCAATATGGCAAAAGTTAGTTTGGAAGATTTATCGCCAGGCGGTTCGCGCCTGCGCCATCTCTTTCCCTCGATTCTCACTTTTTCTTTCTTCTCGAGCTTCCAACTTGTTGCTTGGCATTTTATCAAAATCGAATCTGTGGCATTTCATTCGAGACTTTGGTGCCTCGCATACTGCAAGCCGACTGCCGAATGCCAGCCCACACATCCCCAACAAGTTGACGACAATTTTCCTGTGCTCTTAGGATGGGTAATGCGATTTTTTGAAAAAGGTTGTAATAATTTTATAGGCGACACTCCGTTTAGTATTTTCGACCAAGGAAACTCTAGTTAAAAGTTTTCGGTACGAGTGTAGGCAATCTATTTCATCTTTTACTGATTGGAAGTATAGTTATTTCAAAACTAGTGATGATTAGGTGTATGTTAAAGCAGGGTATAGAAAATTGTGTCTTAATCTGGGCTGGCAGTTGATTTTATTCGAGTGTGTTTGGCTGCTTTCGTCGTGTGTTTCCACTTTCCAGTTGCAGTAGCAGAGTTTGTCATTGTTTTGCTGCCATTGAGAAGAGGCCGTCGCAGTTGGAAGTCGCGTCATAGTTAAAGAAAAGCATTTTATCTATGAGTTGTCAATGTGCATTGTTTTTACTGCCTCGTCTGTCGATGCATTTGCTGGATTTTGCCGCTGCCTTTGCCGGCTCCGAAAGTGAATCTCAAATATTTCTTGATGGCAATCTCGGCTGGAAAAGCGCCAAGGATGGTGCTTCGTTTGGTGGATGTGGACGTGGACGTGGATGTGGATGGTGGCACCCATGTTCGATGCACGTCAACAGAATTTGCGAACAAGGTCATGGGAGCTGGAGGAGGGGCCTTGAGGAGGGGTCTCTCCATAACACATATCGCCGGCATCTCGTGGCTCATTTGGAGGAGATTTTCCGTAGCCGACGGTTTGTTTTGCCAACGCATTTCACTTTCTATTGCATTTCGAATGCATTTCTCGCCACTACTCCTTCTCTTTCGCTTTCGTTTGAGTTTCGTTAATGAACTCAAGTGGGTTTCAGTTTAAATCTCTTTCAAGTTTGTTCTTTTTCTCACGAAACACTCGAATTAATATCTCTTTTATCCGCCGGGGTTCTGTGAAAGCTCTTGATTTCAGTTTTTGTTTTCATTTTCTACTTGCCTTTGTTTTTGTTAAGACAGCCGAAAACCGAAAATGTTGCATTCACGTCTCACCTGACAGAATTTCTGTTGGTTCCGCATCTGCATTTTGCACTTTGGATTGAATTTCGGTTTGGCGGCAAAAAAAAGAAAAGCGAACGAAACAAAAGAGTTATGAGACCGTTGGATAAGTGGAGAATGTGTTAGATATTCGATGCTTTGAAAAAAAGGGTTCTAGAATTACTCGAAGGAATTTATATAAAACTAAATGAATGGAATAAGGAAGTACAGTTGCAGCTTTAGTTGTAGCTTTTTTTAACTTAATGACATCTTCAACTAGTAAAAATACTATAAAATAATTATAAAAAATTATAATATATTTGTAAAAATTTGGATGGTTTCCATTTAGGGACTCTACATTGATTCTTAAATTTTGAGTGAGAGTTTATACATAAAGATGACTGATCGTTGTTTTTCTAGCTTTTTATTGGGCAGTAAATTTTTAAGTACTTCGGCTTGGCTGTGTTCGTTATCCATTGATAATTTTGTAAAAGCTTTATTTGTACCCCATGTTGTTTAACTTTTATCACAACTGGCATGTGTCAAGATTTTTGAAAGACCCAGAGAAAATTTCCCACTCTACCTAAAAAAGGTATATTGAATTTCTACATCGGCTTGGAGCACCCCATCTCTCCCCAGACAACTCAAAGACCTCCTAACTCCAAGACCGACTGGGAAAGGGATCCAATTATCGCCTGGAGACGTTGTTGTCGTCGTCATTTCTGCTTTTGTTGCTGCTGTCGACCGCTGACGATCGGCGTTTGTGCCCATTTCCGACTTTAACAACTTGACCACAGATATATACCCTGCTGCCCCCTTTCCATGCCCCTGTTTTTGACTTTTTTCTTGTTTTGTTTGCCAAAGTAAAACGCCGTTCATTTGTTTTTGATTTTTTTGGTTTGTATTTTTACTTTTTTTTTAGTTCGTGCAAATTTCGCTGAGTTTGCAGTTAGTTTGCTGCTGCTGTTGTTGCTTTTTTACAAATTGCCTGTAAATGATATTTTCACAACTCGCATCGATTGACTGCTCCCCCCTTCCGCCACCCATGAAAATTGAGAGAGTTCGCCGAGGTTAATGCGACCAATAAATTGTTGTTGCCGATTTTTGTTGTTGATGTTCGATGCTTTATGAGCCATATTTTGCCTCTCTTTTCCACTCCTGAGATACGATTTTTTTTTGGGTCGGGAATGCCGTTTTAGCCGTTGTCTTTGGGAAGTTGAGCCTAACGGCAAATGACGGGAAATATTGAAATTTCGCAGCGTAAAATTGTTTTCAATTTAATCGACATTGTTCAATTTTTCATGCCCAGGCTCGTTGGGGAGTTTTGAGTTTTCCTCTCGTTTTCCGTTTGTGCAATTTGAGTGCAAATATAATTAATGATAATGAATTGTTATGCGAGACGCCCTCGGTCAAAATTGCAGGAAAAAAAATACAAATTCGAAAAAAATGTCGTGCATTGGTCGGAGTTTGTGGGAGTTTGGTTGGCAAGTATTTGACTTTTTCTTGGGGGTTTTCGGTGCAACTGATTTATCACTGGAGACAGCTACGAGGTTGCGGCGGTGTTTGGCGAAAGGTTGCCATAAAAAAATGTTGGTAAAATTTAGGGGAATCGTCAAAAACCGAAGAGAAAATACCCTTTTACCAACACAAGAACAAGATGATAAATCGCAAAAAATACCATTATAATGCTTACATACGATCTTTTGGAAAAATGCTGAATGATGTTAAATAACAACTTGAAAAACACCCGAAATTCCTCCCATTTATGTAAATTTTAGCTCATACATTATGAGTGCATAAAAACGTTTTAAGGTGGGTAATCAATTTTGGGTTTACCATCAAATTTATGATACCCCCTGCTAGGGAATCAAAAAAGTTGCTAAGCAAATGTTGGCCAGTAAAAGTTGATGGTATATGCCTCAGTTTCTGCGTTTGGCTTTCCATTATGCAATGTTTTTTGCCAAGTGCTAATATCAAAAAACATTGGTAAACAATTTTGCCATTTTCCTCGGTTATCCTTCGTTGTTATAGTGGTTGGTGTGTTCATTAGTCAAACTTCGTTTCCGCTCCATTCAAAACAGTTTCGCATCACTTCGCTTATTTGTCTTAACACGCGTTTCATTTATCTCGTTTTAGCCGAAAGTGAATTGAATTGAATGGCATCGAAAGGATTGGATGGATGTGCTTTGCCGCGAGTCACTGAATAAATTTCGACTTTCGCACATTGGCAGGCTTTTCACACTCGATTATGTGAGTAATTTTCGGTTTATTTACTTTGGTATAGCTCTTGGCTTTTCTCTCCATATCTCTCAATCAGTGTTTTGAGTAGTTTAATAGGTTAATTAAGAGAGTTCATTGCGTGGCATCGCCTGCATTGGACTCGGCTCGAGTTTTGTATATAGGAAATTGTAGACATTTAGAAGTGGGTCAATGCCGAGTTCAAGGCAACGTTGCGAGTGCGCGATAATGGAACTTAAGTTGGGAAGTTTTAATGACAGAAAAGGTGCTTTGAGAAAAACAATACAGAGAATACAGTCATTAAACTTTTTAGGTTAATGACAATAAACAAAATCCACAAATATGTTTCCCCCTAGCTAATTAGTATTTTGAAGTGTTTGTCAAAATTTATGTTCTCTGTTTTCCTGCACCACTTAACCCACTAATTTGCTAGCATATTGGTGCCCAATCGGCCAGTTAGGGGGTGTGACTGGGGATTATTTACTGCTTCGCCACCTGTCAGCCGTCGAAAAAGTTACCGCCTGTTCATTTGGTGGGTCAGTAGTCATAACAAACGACTTCCCTACAGAGAGGCGTGGTCAGATCGGGACTAGTTTTTCTTAAAATGATATTTTTTGCTTTGATAGCCTTTCCATGTGTCATGTGTAATGTGGTGGGGACCCCAAAAAACGATCGCAGAACATGAGGAAAACGTGTTCGAACTGCAAAAACACACAAAACACGAAACATTTATCATATGCTCAGGAATGTAGACAAAATGTGGGCATTAGAAGGGGAAAAGGGGAAAGTGGGCTGGGGCGTTGTGGAAAGGAGTGGAAAAAGGCAGGGGGCTTGTGGATTGGAGCCAAAAATGTTTATGGGTTGTAGACAAATTTTGTTAGCGACAACTTAAAAGGCGACAAATAAAATGCAGTCGAACTTCTAAAACTCGAACCACCATCCTGCATCGTAAAAATTCGAGTTAGATGAAAAAGAAAATATGCTAGCGCTACTGGCTTTTTTATGTAACTTCAAGGAATTTATTGTTAATATGAGTTTTCGATTTGAAATTAATCATACGGAAGAAGACAGTTTTGAGTTATCGCATCAGTTTGGTAAAATGCCATGACAAAGATACAAAGTAAATAGTAAATATAAATTTCGATGTGTCAACATAAGGCAAAATATCTCATTAATTTATATTAATACAAACCGTATAATCCAAAAGTCTGTATGGGTTAGATTCCTTTAAGTGTAAAAAATGCTGGTAGACCAGAAGAGAGGTTGGTTGGGGATTGCTGGCTTAGTGTTTGGGTGGTGGCGGTACAATGTTTGCATGTTTCCCAAATTTGTCCCCACTTTCGGAGATACGATAACTTTCGATTTTTTTCCTTCGGTTTCCTTTTTCAATGGTGAACCACTTCTCTAATTGCTTTTGCACCGAATATCACCAGAAATATAAGAAACGAAATAAGAGTTTCCTTTTGTCTTGCTCGGGTCTGTTGGTCCTCTGTCCACCGTCTTTATTCCGTGGCCATGTTCCATGTCTCCACATGTCGCACTATACTTGCAAATATTTTTCTTGTTATTCGTATTTCCCTCCATTTCTTTGTATGGAGGAGGACTTTTGACTTTACCAGGCTGCAACCAAGGAATTCGAAATAATTTCATTTTCAGTGTGACATTCAGACAAATGTTTCTCAAGGTATCGGTTTGGAGATGTTGTGTAGATACCGGATATTATGGGTTTTTAGGTAATTTAAAAGAGGGATTGTAAGAAGTTTTTATATATAAACCATTGCACAACTGAGGACCGAAGGGAGACCCTTTTTAACCCAGATCAGTATATCCGATAATCTGTTTTATAGTTATAAAATCTCAGTTATCTGGCTCACCATCGCCATATCTCATGTACCGACCGATAAAAGTTTGTCAAAGCAAGACACGACCGCAACAAATTAAACAATTCATTGTCTCGGGTGCCCACAAAAAATTGCTCTGTGGGCAAGACCCCCTTAATTTAAACTAGGTTGCACTGGACCACATATTGTGATTGTTTTCTGTGTTTTGCGGTTGCAGTTGTGGTTGCTCCAATACCAATACCAGCACCAACACCTTTGCCACGATCTTGGTTTACAAGTCAATATGGTTATTGTTATTGTCGCCAGATTGCCTGCGATTTGGCCACTTGGCCAACATTCACGTGTGCTAAAAGTGACGCCGTCTCACCTCTCTTTTCATCTCCCATATATCCCTGCAGTTAACAATTCATTAGGTGTTGCTGCTGCAACAGCAGCTGCCTCTGTTGCAGTTGTGTTGATGTTGCTGTTGCTGCTGCAACTGTCTTTAGCAATTGTCAATTTATGGCATGCTGCCTGCCTTTGGGGTCTCCTCCAATCATGGCTTTTAGCCTGGTCAACTCGGCTTGAATGGCCAAATTGGTGGCACACAACGCTGGCACTGCCAACGCGATTCTCGGAAGAATTCCCCGATAAGTCGGTTGACTACTGCTGGTTCATTTAAAATATAGCTGCGACTGCTGCTTGCTGCTGTGCAATATATAAAAAAAGATATTTTAATTACGCTTTGGTCTGCGGAATGTCGATTTCCTCGGTCTGGGTCTCTCTGGTTGTCTGATTCTGGGGTCGACTTGGTGTCTGCAATCGCTTTTAACTTTTGCAATTAGAGATGGTATGATGGAATATCATATGATGGAATATCATTCTTTAATTTCTCTATCTTATATTTTACAGCTTCGGAAATAGTTATTTTATATAACATATGATCCCAAAAGCTTTTTAAAATGAACCTTGACTTCTTTTTATCTGAGTATTATATAAGTAATTCGCGAAAAGTGAAGTACGGGGCCTATTTTTCACATCAACTTGGCATATGGCTTATGGTTTATTTGTCCGTTCAATAAAATTACGATATGCCAAAATACCACCTCTATCAACGATTTTATCGCTCATACAACTCACTCTTACTCATGACTTCACACCCCAAAGCCAGCTGATGACTAAATTATGGCCAAGAACGCGAACTTTCAAGACTTATTGTGGCCAACTAAACGAATTTCGAAGTCTTATCTCGACTGGGGCCCCAGATAATGAAATATTCTCTATAATTGATTACATTTCGGGCCATTCGAGTGTTGCTCAATTGCCTTATCGACTCTATCTAATCTAGAGGCACGAGTATAGTTCATCGGAAGAAACTGGGTAAACAGAATAATTGGCCTCTCAATTGTTAGTACTTGATTTGCTTTAATTGGCCACAGAGTTTTCCAGCGTGAGAATAAACGCCGATTTAGTGAGTTCACATCCGGTTTTTCGGCGGTTCTGTTTTCGTTTCTTTGGGATGAGCCAAGAGTAGAGTAAACAAATAGGAGAGCGGAAGTGACAAATATCAAAGTAATGGGAAATTAAATGAAGTTAAAAACATTTGCTGGGAATCAGAACAATGAAAGTTTTGTTTTCCTTTTTAAAGAACGCTGAGAGGGAAATGAAAAGTATTTTTAAAGGAGTTTATTAAAATTGTAATACTCTTCTTTGTGTCAGATTCACTCAAGCGCTTCCAAAACCGCTGAATATTTAAGACCTTAAACTAAAGACCTTGATATTTAATTCCAACTTCTTTTAAAGGTTTATGAAATGATAACCCAAGGGAAATCGAAAGTTTTGCTTACTCAAAAAAATGCCTCCTGAAATAGATTCTATTGTCATCTTTCCCGGCATTTTTTATAACGATGAACCATGAGCCCAGGCGTATTTACGAGCTTCTCAAATACTTCGTGTCTGGCATAGACAATATGGAGGGATCTGCGATCTTCAAGACCCCTTCCTCTAAAACCACTCCCCACCATTTTTGTTGACTTCATTTTGGTTTCGTTGGCTATTTCTACGCAAATATTTGTCTATTTTTAGCCCTCTCTTTGGCTGCCCCTTTACTGCGTCTCCTCTTTGTGCTTATTAATGGCCTTTGCTTTGGCTTCTTCTTCTGCTCTGGGGGTCTCGGATCTCTGGGGTCTCAGATCGTCGAGGTCTGTGGGCTTTGTGGCTATAACTTCGTGTTCCACATGTTTTGGCCGGTATTTTGACTTTGTTTCGCTTGAAGATCGGTTTTCTTTGGAACTTTTGTGCTATTACCGAATGTTTACAGGTGTCTTATGCAACAGTTCAACAGGTGGACAAATAAATGCAAGAAAAGATTCGAAAGAAAGCCGTCCAGATCGAAATGAGTTATTATCGGAAAGAGTTAAATATTTGTTTAATGCATATTGGTGGAATTAATTTGCATATCTGTGGAGTGTTTATCTGTTGGATGTTTATGAATGCCTCGTTTGAACTTCAAAGAGCCACTGATTGGGCATTAACATTTTGAATACGCATTCTTAGCTCATTAAAACCCAAATCCTTATCAAATGAAATGGAAAAGCCTCTTAATTTTCACCACTTCCACGCGGAAGCTTAACGCTGAACCTATAAACCTGAAACTCAAACAAACGCAAACTGGAAATTCGCAATTTCCCAAATGAATTTGTGCCGGCAATGGAGGACTACTACGAGTATCTTTTTCTACTTTTTCAACGCCTTTTCAACGGCCTTTCGGTTGTGTTAGTCACTCGCGAATGCGAATCCCCATTTTGCATGCAGACCGAGTGGAAATTTGCATAAAGGGGGAAACTACTGTCAGACGGCAGCGATTCCTTGGGCCCCATTTCAGGTTCCATGAGTCATAAAGCAAACATTTTGGATTTAATGGTCAGCACATAAAAGAGTTGAGGCCGTTGCCGCATTCACTACTTAATTATGTAATTAATATGTCTAAGGCTCTCACACAAAACCATCAAAATAATTGTTTAAGATTTTTCTTTAAAGTGGAAGAAGGTAAAGTTAGAAACGACTTAAACTAGGAATTATATGGGAAATGTGTGCAAAAATATTTAAGCTAAGCAAGACAGAAACTGAAATCGAGAGAATATGTTCAGTTAATGTTTACTTACTAAAGTTCTTAATAGTAAGTAATATAAGCCTATAAAAAGAGTAACGTTCTTTGATATTATTATTTAATGGATTTATTATAATGAAAATCGATCACTTCAATCTCTGCCTATCAGCAGCCCTGCCAATAATGGGTTAAAGCTTTTATTGCGGTTTGTTTTGTAACGCCGACTTTTGTTTATTGCCCAAAGACCTGGGAAACTTTATTTACAGCTCTTAGCACTGATTTGTGTTTTTGGGGCCACGCCCTCCTCCCTCAATTATATCCACCTCCACCCACTTTCAGTTGCCAATTTTATTATTCATTTTTCATCACTATTCGCCGTGTCTTTCGGATCTCTTGGTATCTCTGGCGCTCAAGTGGCTAAATGAACGCTTGCGGGCCAATTTTGGAATTGGACAACTTCCACCGCCTTTTGCACAAACAAATTTGCATACGAATATGGCCCCACAACTGCTTTTCGCGACTAATTTCGTATGAAAATTTGATTGCGCCGCGATTAGAATCGCGTTCATTGTTTATATTCCTCTGCTGAACGGGAGTCGTTGACCAAAGCCAAAGCTCTGAAATTAAGTAATATTTTGCATACGTAATTACTATAATTTCCCCAATTCCCCCCGACCTTCTCCCCGCTGTTATTATTCAGTTATGTAGTTAGTTGTCTGTGGGTTACAGTTGCTTTTAATTGCCGTTTACAGTTTTGTTTGCTCTGCAGTGGGTGTGATATGCGATACGAGATACGAGTCTGCGATATGGCCACTGCACTCAGAAGCTGAGGTTCTACGAGAGTTAATTATGCTAAGCGCAGGAGGAAAATGGAGGGGTCACTGAGGTTGAGATAGAGATAGGGGTTCTTTCGTCACCGCAAGTGTGTTGCAAGTTTCAACATCTGATAACTCACAGAGTTGTTATGACCAGAAAAGGTAGAAAATATAAAGAGAAGTAGTGATCAGAAGATACCTTGTTGGGGGAAGTTATGTTGGGAAGGTTTTTACTCATTTTAAGAAAATAATTTTTAAAAAATTTTTAAATCCGTATTTCGTTAAAACATTACTACCTCTTTGTGAATCCAACTTTTTCCGGTTAATAAACGATTAGTGATCATTTAAAATCTTCATTTACAAAATGCACCTGCCAGCAATCGCAACCCATGAGATCCGCCTAATGCAGAAGATGGGGCAAAGAAATGCTTGTAGGAAATGAATCTATATTAAAGACGATACCAGTGCAATTCGCTTTCGTCTTTTAATGGCTTGCCTATAGTAATAATACCCATCATTAGCAGAAGGAAAATGAGAAACGAATCTCTGCAACGCTGCTAATTATACTGCCCCATGAGGTGTGGTGATGGTCCCTCTCTAATCATAATCATCATTTCATCTCGACCCACCTATTTTCCCCCTAATTGGTTTGATTTCCTTTTCGACTAATGTGCAAATTTCCCCGCTCTCTTGTTTCGTTTCAGTGGAATTAATTTAGATACTCGAAACAACCGACATTTTATCAAAATAACGAAACAAGTATTTTGCATAAAAACGAACGGAAATCGAAAGGAACGCCCTGAAGGTCATTGCCAGAGAGCGGAACGCCGGCATCGGAACGGAAAACAATGAATATCAGAGGAAGCCAGGCAGACATGCAAATATTGGGCGACTTTTGAGGGGTTCGATTAGCATAACTCGCTCCCTAAATAATAAATAGTTATCCCTCACATGCACACATGGAAAATAAAGCCAAATAAAGTTGGAGAACAATGGAAATGCAACAGGAAAACGATCTGGCAAGAGAAAGGGGAGTCCCGAAATCAGAGAAAGACGGGGAGATGAGAAGTAACCAAGAGACTGAAAAAGCGGCCATTATAAAAGGTGGAAATGAAGGATCGCCAAGGGAATTGGAGTCCCCGAACGAAACCCAAACCACCCGAAATCAAGAAAACACAACGAAACCCCATAAATTGGATGGCATCTTCGCCATACCAGCCACGCCCCGTAATAAGACGGGCCTAACTACAAAATCGGCCAGCAGTAGCCGCAGTAGTTCCCTCAAAAAACAAAGACGTGGATCCAGAGGAAATGCAAATTTGAACGTAATTGGAACGGAAAATGGATTTTCAAACAGCAGCGCCTCTGGCGGTGGTCAATTAAACCATGGCACTAACAGTGTTGGAAACGACCTTATGAAGCAGTCACAGTCCATGACGTCACTGCAGGCCTCAAATGAGGAACAGCAGGAGCGCCGTGACGTCATGCAGGCCAAGCTCCATTTGGAACGGCCCTACAACAGCCTCAAGGTGAGTGATCCCAAAAATGGTCATGTATTTTAAAGGGGCACAGGGGGAGAATACAGGTATTCATCAGGTAATGGCTATGAGGAGTGTGTGTGTACGCATATATTTGCAATTGATCAAAGCTCATACCCTTTCTTGGAAGATAATATAGAAGACACAAAACAATATACCGACAAACATATTATAATATATTTTTAAAACGCTATATTTTTAGATCAAATTAATCGATTATTGAACCTCTGAGATTTAGGGAAATGATATCTGCTCTAAGCAGGTCAAGGTTTAGGCATGGAATAAAATACCTGTTTCACACAGATTTCGGGGCTACCAAGCCCAATATTTGAGGAAAGGAACATCATTTTAGCTAGGGTATTTAAAGTTTGCCGTTTATTTCACTTCGTTTCTGCTCCATCTTCCCGTACCTATTGCACTTTTAGCCTTCGCTCGACACGCTAACGAGTTTGGTCTCTAAAAATGACAAGGGGCCGTTAGAAAATGCAGTACTCTTGTTCTTGTTCTTGTTCCCCTAATGGTGTGTCTTATAGTATGTCTGTGTCAACGGAAATTGCTTTAATAAATTATTAATAAATTTCCCGATTAGCATGCCTTTATGAAGCCAACCGAGTTGCAACGGTTAAAAATGTGCAACTAAGTTGGCGCCACTGGCCATGAACACAAATTGCTAATTTATGCTCTAAACTGGAATGTAAAACAGGCCTCTTTTCTTCTTATACGCAGGCGGAAAATGATGAAATTGTTGAGGAATGTACATTGTAAAGTAACTGGTGTTTTGGAAATATTTAAATATAATGTAACGCTTAATAGAGGTTCGAATTTGTGATGATTCGTGATAAATGGCTGGCTAATAGGCTTAATTCTAATTGATCTCGATAATATTATTTAATTTTTTCGTGACGGAAGAGGGCGAGTCAAAATCGTTTAAATAAATCTTATCAGCGTGGGTACTAACAGAAAATCTGCATACCAACCAGATTTGCTCCAGTTCTCACAGTCTTCAAAATATATTAACTCTGTTCCTCGATAAAAATCTGTTAAATTTTACAAGACCGAGACCACAGAGATATATTTTTTTCAAGGCCTCCAGGTGTCACAGCTTGCATATTTTACAGCTTATTTGGCTGCAAACTTTTCTTAGTCACTGTGGGCGAGTTTGTGTCCGAAATGCGAGTCATTCGGCGATAATGCCCGCCCCACACCCCTTTTTCTACTCACTCATTTAATCAATTACTCAAATCACCAGAAACAGCAGTAACACAATCGCACACACAATTTCATTTTCGATTTTCAATTTCGTTTGCTTTTGGGATTACGGTTGCATTACGATTGTGTAAATAAGGAATTTCCTTCCACGATTTCAGCCTGAATCGGGGACTTTCTTGGACAAATGAGCAAAATGCATTAATTAATTGCGCGCGCTTTGCAATTTGGAGTGAGTAAAAACCAGTTTTCAGAGCGGCCTAGAGTCGGGAATCTGAATCGCAAGCTCCCAAGATGGCCAGGCATATTGTTTCGGCCGTATTTGGCACGCCTCAAATTACTTATTTATTAACAACTTTTAGCGGTTTCCCCTTCCTCTTTGCAATCGTCTTTCGTACGCTTTTGTTTGGTCTTTGCCACCTCAGTGGCTTTATTTTGAGGTGCTTTAAATCAATCAACATTTGTCAACATTTATTTTTATTTACCTTAAACAGCATCTTTATCGAACATTTTGTAATCAAATTTTGTAAAACTATATACTGTTTTGGAACAGTAAATAATTCAAAACTACTGTTAAATTAATGTAATTGTAGTGGGAATAATACTGTTTATCTTTGTTAATCAAAATTGTTTAGTTTTTAATACATACAAATTTTATTGCAAAAAATATAAACCATTTTTCATTGAGGGGCATCGCAATATTTTTAGTTCCTCTGAATCGCATGAAAAATCTTATTATCTTTTTTAAAGGGACGAGTTGGCAGTCCTTTTCCTTTTTCTTCATCCTTCCTCTTCCGTGCAGAAGAATCATAATTTGTCCAGTCTGGTAGCACTATTTAATTGCGTAAAAAGAAACGTAGATTAATGTGTTATATACTTAACATTACAAGCGGTTCTACATTACTTACAATCTTTTCTACAATTGTCAAGCATTTTGACACCATGAGCTTTAAAACATCCCACTACTTTTTATACTCTATACATTTTTTAAACGCCTTTTACAATATAAAAACATTTGTTTTTTAATTTTCAGAAAAATTCGCATAGCAATAAAATGCACCGTTATTCGTGGGGAAGCGGAAACAGTCAATGCAGTTCCACCAGCCTCCACAGCAGCGCCACCTTGGGCTTGGGTTCCTCTGGCAAAGACGACCTCTGGGCGGCCATTCAAACGAACTACAACTACATCATGGACACGAACCTTTTGGATACCTGCAAGGAGGCGCGCTGTGAGATAGAGGGCGCAGCAACAGTGCTGGAAAAGTCTAGTGAATGTTGTTTTAAGGTATGTGGATTGGATAATGTGAATATTTGAATTATTTTACTTACAATTATTAATTGCAAATATGTGTTAAATATTTTCCAATAGATGCTCGATGAGACCCAAAGACCCGAGGGCCTTTGTGAGGATCCCAAGGAATTACGGCGTTGGCTCCGCGAAATGGAGAGTAAATTGGAGAGTTCGCCCACAATCACTGAGCTCACTTTGTTTGGCAACGCGGAATTGCAGCGCCATCTAGCAGTACACTCGGTGAGTTAAGTTTTTGACTGCATTTTAAGAGCATACTTTGAGGATCGGAAAGAAAACTTTAAAATTGCATTGCCTACTTTTCTGCAAACAACCAAATCTGGCGGCACCGATATTTGGACATAAACCATATTTTAAAATTTCTCAGAAAGTTAAAATGTATCAAAACTAACAGCACTGTTAAGATGTATATAAATCTAACAGAAATGTTAGAAAAATCTTAACATTTCTGTTCGAAAACGTTGCATCTTAACATTTCGGAAAAGGAAGAACACATGGCGCCTTGATTCAAAAACTTACCATTTTTTAGCTTTATAAAAGAGTAAAAAAAATATTATTTTTGTTCAGTTGTTTTAAAACTTGTTAGCAATCATTCTGTTATTTATTCACGTTAACTGTTTCCCTTTATACACAAAGTATTAGAGCCATTAAATTGGTTGATCGAAGTTGAAATAAATGTATATGTTATACTAAAAAAAAGATAGGTATTGATCATTAAATTGCAGCGTTACAGTTGGCTGATACAAACTTGCGCTGCTTAAGATCTTCTAGAGTCTAGAGGCCTAATATTAAACCTAACAAAAAGTCGTCAAAACCAAAAACTATACAAAAAAAAAGGTACAAAAATGTTGTGTCGTTTTATTGATATCAAGTTTTTTTTTGTTTTGGACGACTTTTTGTTAGATTGAATACTAGGCCTTACCCTTCAACCTTTGGCAGTTTCCGGCATCTCAGCGTTCATACGGACAGATATAATTCTAATATTATTATTATTCTAATCTAGTTTAACACGCGGACGAGAAAACGGCCTTTGGTTTGACATTTTAGTTAGTTAACATATGCAAGTTTGGAGATAAAATGTACCTCTAGCTGAACATGAGACCAAGAACATGCAATGTAGTTTGTTGAGATAAAATAAGAAAATTCGAATATTAACTGTGTTTATGACAGACCAGAAAAATTATGGAAGATCTTCATATCGCGTTACCTTGTCGGATTTGGTTCGATTTTGTTAAACTATGAATAATTAAAAAATAAATTCAAAACTGTTTTGACCAAAATAACTTATGAAGTTATTGTTTACATTCAAGGACAAACTTCATAACAAAATTCAACAGATATGTTTCACAAATGTATCCAAAAAAAAAATGCAGATCACCTCAAGTAAAAGTGTATCAAAATACCAAAAGTGCAATTTTACGCATTTTATTATACCTTTTGCGTTTTTTTGTTTTTGGCCCCAATGACTTTGCTTTTTGCTGCTTTTCCTCTGTTTTGTTTGAGTTTTCCCCCTCCAGCGGCTTCCGCTAGTGCGTCTCGAAATTGTGCAACAAGTTTTGTATCTCAGCCAGGGAAAAAAGACCAAATCCGTCAGTCATTCTCATTGCCCCCTGCTCAAATCCCCCCAAACCATTGACTTCCCCTCGAAAATCAAGACAACAATGTTCCCTTGTTTTTTCTTTTGCTCTTTTTCTCTCTCTTTTTTTTTCATTTTTGTTACGAAAATTTATTGAGCTGAAAGTGAAAATTACTGCGAGGGAGAGGAAAGGGGCCTTGAGATAACCTCCTCGAACCTCTGCTTGATAATTGGCATTCGGACGTTTGTAACACCTTCAATCGAGAGTGAATTCAAAGTCTCTGAATTGCCAACAGATTTGTTTGCTGCACTTTTCTGTTTTCTTTTTCGTATTTCTTTGATTTAGGGGGATTTTTATCTGAACAATATTGTCTATAAACAAGGCTCTGGGCTCCCCATATTATGTAATTGTGTGTGAGTTTGGGAAAATCTAAGACGGAAGAGAGTCTTTGGACTCCGCCTTTGGCTTTGATTTGTGTCGGTTTCAATTGAGCTTTGACCGTGACAGAAGTAAATTTGAGGAGCAATATTACATAAGAACCGGTGGGATGTGGAATTTAAAACGGGAGAAAATACCATTAATTGGCAAATTCATAAGTTTTAAACAAGTGTGCTGCCAAACTACGCCGGAGATAAATACCTACAGTTTGATTTTCAACAATGACGCACTCTCGACCAGTGGATTATTTAAAAAAATATTTCCACTCTTTGACCTTATTACCGATGTGAAACTAAAAGGCCTCAACCCATTTCAACGCCGTCAAAATATACTTTCTTTACCCATTTCTTGACCCATTTCGAAAAAGTCGGTTTTTATTTTGGTGGCTAATTGAAAATACCTTTAAAGTTTTTTTTCAATGAAATTCCTCGAACACATTCGCTCTCCTTCTCCCCAAAAAACGCAGCCGGCCACGAGCCAAATGAAAGTAAACAAAATCCAATAGTGAAAAAGTTGAGTTTGCATTGTAGGTAGTTAGCCGAAAAGTGCTCAATACAAAAACTTTGCTGGCTAAACTCCGGCTGGCTGCCCCTGATTTACGACAATTGTTTTGTCACGTTGTCGATGGGAGAAAGAGAGCCTCGCAGATGGAGCTTTTCCACCTAGTAGGCAGTATCGAACGACGACGACGACGACGGCAGCACCAAATGTCAATTGCCCAAAATGGTTAAACATATTTCCAATAAGTTGTTAGGCGTTTGTCTCTGTCAATTGTTTGGGGCTGCAGTGGTTGCTTCTGCAGTTCCCGGGGGCGGAGACACGCATTCAGTGTCCAAATCCGAACTGTTAACTAGAGTTCCAATTCCAACTCCACAAACCGATCGACGCAATCAAGCCCCACAGCAACCGACCGAAGACCCAGTGGAAAGGGGATCGAGATTGGGTCTTGGAAATTGAGATTGAGAGATGATCGCCGTGAAGCAAAAACCAAAATTTGTCAGCTGCCGGACAATGTCGGTGGCCATAACGAGCTGGGATCTCCGCTGGTTCCCCAAGGTGCTGACTGCAATCTCCTTTTTAATTGAAAACCAGCCCAAAACAAAGCCAAGCCCAGTGAGAATACCTCTGGATTTGGCTGATGGTTGAAATTGATTTGTATTATGTGGGAAGAAATTTGGAGAGGATGTGTAAGGGAAGTCAGAGGAAAACTTTTTTTTAAATGAAACAAAACATAAATAATTTGGTTCCTTTTTGGGAAACTTTACTCTCCCATTTTTGGTCTGGAAAATTACACTTTAATAGTAGGTTTACAGAGTATATGGAAAAAACCTTTGATGAGTGTTTGGTTTTGGGGGGTTTTTCTTTTAACCCCTTAACACTTGCCGGCCGCAACGGGTTAAGCATTCGCTGTTCTGGTCAAGTGAAGCGTAAACAATCATGTTCCCTGTCGCCTGCAACGACAGGATGTCTTTGTTTTCCGACCAACTGGGGCCACCGAAAATGGTCAAGACAAGCAGCAGCAGAAAGCAGCGTGACAAAGCGAGAAAATAAGTTTGTTTTTCCCTGGCTTCCCTGGAAAAGCCGCAGGAAAAGTGAAGGTGGTGCAATTTAGTCTCTGGCCGACGCGATTAGCTAAGAGCTGCGACCATATAATCGCATTGACAATTTCCATTTCGTATGCGGGAGTAGAGGAAGTGCTCCACTTTATGGCAGTCATAATTTCATGTTTCGCCTCGATAGGATTTGAATTTTGAATTTCGATTTGGTGGTTGTCCGATTCTATCGAATGGGTGTCCATTGTGTTTTTGCGGCAATCTCCCCCCGCCAGATTTGCATAACAATTGCTGGCTGTAACCTTTCGCCCAGTAAGTTGGCTCTCCGGTCTGGACTCGCCAGTCCGACTTGGATGCAGACTATATGGCCAGCTGCAGTTGCTGGGCGGCAATAAAACATTTACCACCGAATTAGCCCAGCCAGAGAGTAGTTAGCCCAAGTCCGAGTCCAGGTCCCACTTAAAATTCAGTTACGATTGCTGCCCAGTTCGGCTATAGTTCAACTTTCGCGTTAAGTGAACTTTAAATAAACTTTCCATTTTGTTTGCCATCGTTTAGTCGAACTTGGGCCTAACTGAATTGTAATTGCACTTGGGGCGTTGATTAAGGGTCATTAGGGAATAAAATGGAGTGCATGTGTACCTCAAAGATCCATCTTGTTGGCCCTTTATAAATACGATTTTTTCGAACTCAGATTGGAATTAAGAACCTAATGGAATTCAGAGTATATTGTTAAGTTTGGTTTACCCCCAAGGTGAATATCTAAAAATGTACATCTCCCACTCTTCTTTCAAAAGCACAACAATCTCCTTTTATCGCCAACAATCGGATCAGAAAACCTTTCACTCCTTCATCGATCCAAAACACGCCCAATTTCATAAGAAAATAACATACGAGAAAGATAGATTGACGGGGGTCTCTCAAGTTCAATTGAGTTTCACTTTTTTTCGTGATTTAAATTAACAATTAAAGCGGATAATTAACAAAATGAAAACAAAAGCAGGCACACCAAATCGAAGGCAACACCCACCGAGCGAGCCAAAGAAAAATATTATTACAAACTTGGTAGATAATTTATCAAACGAACTGCGGATCTTGACGATGAAGTCATTACCACAGACAACAAAAAAACCACACAAAAGGAAAGACAGGCCCAAAAAGTATAAAAAGACTACGTCACATGTGAAGCGGATCAAATGATTTCGTCATAATTGAGCAGCAAATTACTATTTTTCCCCCTCTAATAGAGAAATAAAATTGCCAAACTTTGGGCGAGAAATGTATATAAAAGTGGGAAGGAAGTGGAACTGGAATTGGTAGCAGACTAAACTGCAACTGAAACTTAAAACCGAAATGAAATGTGGGGGAAATTAAGAAGAAAAAGCCAACAATAAATCTTTTGGCAATAGGAAAAACAAAAGCAGCCACAAAAAAGGCCCCAAAAGCATGATCACAAAATAGACTTTCGAACACAATTTATTTTTATATTTTCTCTGTTTATTTCTTTGGCTTACCAAACCGCTTGAGAGTTTGAGTTTTTCTAGCCAGCGATTTAATAACCCGAATAAAGCCCGTATAAAAAACAATGAAAAATTCATGTACGATCCATTCAGGTTCATCATTAACGCCAAGATCGAACCGCAACCGGGGGAAAAGGGAAAGGCGGCTCTGAGTTTTCATTCGGGACTCAAAGGCTGTGCTTTGTCGCCACTTTAATTGGCTCAAATTAAAGACGAGCTGGGATTGGGTTTTATAGACTTTATAGACACGACGGGGACGTCGTGGTGGAAGATGCAGCTGCAGTTTAGAGGCGTTACTTTATTCCGCTGATTAATGAAGAAATTTTCTCTGGAAGCTTGCCACCTTGTTAACGACTTTATGTGTGACTATTCGCAAATAAGAAAATGAGCGAGGTGAAAATTAAATTTAACAAAATGTCCCATAAAATGATCAGCTTACCATGAAAACCACTTGAGTGTGCAAGCCCTAAGACAATATGAGCTGGTGTAACATGTAGAAAATGGAAAGTGGCTATGGTAGGAAGTAAAGCCCGATGTCTGCTCTTTTCTTTCGAAATGTATTTTTTCGATTAGCAAAATTCATTTCGTAGGGTGGTAGAGAAATGAGGAGGATGTTCCTAATAGACTTTCTACTTATTTAAGATTTAAAAGCTAAGTGTTGCGTAGGGGTACTCTTGTTTTGAGGGTTACATTTATATCTATTTAGCTATTTAAATAATAATTGTTAGTTGATGCAATTTTTGTACTGCACTGCTAATATTCACTTAATTAAGTGTACCATATGAGAATCGCATAGAAGGGCTCATACTTGCTCTGTCTAGTTTTGAATTTTCATTAAATTAATCTGAATTCCTATACTGGGTTAGCTAATAAGGGAAAAGACATTTGACATTTACTTGGTTGGAAATTTATTCATGTCGAGTCGATATCGGTGGTGTTTTGTTAAGTTTAACCGTGGTAGATCTGGTGTCCGTAGGTGGGAACTCCATAGGATGCTACTCCGTAGGACTTCAAAACGGGGACATGCTGAACCACTGGAACATGCTTGACCACGGGAACGTGGTGCACCACCGGAACCTGCTTCACCACTGGAATGTGTTTCACAACGGGAACCACATGAGCCACAGGAACAACTCCGTAAGAGGGCTCAATGTAACCGGGAGCAGCGAAAGCCATGGCAACCAGGGCAAAGATCACAGCGATCTGAAGAGATAATGTCGAGTTAACACGCACCTAGGGATATATTATAATCCTTTAACTTACAATGCGGAACATCTTGATATGTTGTTTTGAGATTGAAACTTTAACTTTGAGGTTATCACACTTTTATGTTGGTCGGACGATTGTTGTTGATTGACCATCCGTGGCATCATTATATATAGTAGTTAACAAGTCAGCCAAAACTAAGCACCCAAATGACTTCTGTTCAAGCGCCACGCGCCAAACCAGTTTAATTATATCCATTTTTAAAAATCTTCGGATAATGCGCATTCTATTTTGTTTCATCTCCAGCGGCGAACTTCCCGTTATCGGTCGTTATTGTTTAACCTTTGGAAATAATCCCCATTCAATAACTCTTCAATTGTGTGGGGTCTTTAGATCCGTTTGCCTATTATTGTTTACTTCCGAAGTCCATTGTCATTATATCGATCGACTTCACGCGTTGTGATGATCGCCGAGAACCAAGGTCAAGACCACAAAAAGACCTATATGAGGACGCCCCTGGGTCAACTGACAAATCCATTCTCCCAATTAAAGCATAGAATTATATGAAATTATAGCTAAACACGTTTGCTTGTTGATAAGTCATTACTACGCTGATTTTTGGCTATATAAAGTAACTGATACGTTGGTCAATCAACAACAGTCATCCGACAAGCCTCGAAGTGACAATATCCCAAATTTTAAGTTTCAAATTTAAAACACAATACCAAGATGTTCCGCATTGTAAGTGCAAGGAAATATAAAATATCCTTGGTGTGTATTAACTCGACATTATTACTTTAGATCGCTGTGATCTTTGCCCTGGTTGCCATGACTTTCGCTGCTCCTAGTTACATTGAGCCCTCTTACGGAGTGGTTCCTGTGGCTCATGTGGTTCCCGTGGTGAAACACATTCCAGTGGTGAAGCAGGTTCCGGTGGTGCAGCATGTTCCCGTGGTCAAGCACGTTCCCGTGGTCAAGCACGTTCCAGTGGTTCAGCATGTCCCCGTTCTGAAGTCCTACGAAGTAGCATCCTATGGAGTTCCCACCTACGGACACCAGATCTACCACGGTTAAAATTGGAAAATAGTATTATTGATATCGACCGAGAATGAATAAATAACCATCCAAATTACCTAATTTACAGAGGATTTTTCTTTGCTTTACAGAAGGTACAAAAGGGGTATTTTACAACAAAACTGAACTCCTGTTTATGCGCTTCTTACTAAAAAACCCGTATTCCTATTTAATTCACTTTTGAAGAGTATACAACTTTTTAGATTTATTGAAGTACTCCAGGTTAAATGAAATATTTTCGCATGTGCCCCCAAGTTGTTTCTTCCCAAATCCATTAAGTTTTGCTGTAGAATTTGCGTTGGTCTTGTTCGATTGAAAATTCTTCACGCAATCCGTAAATGCACCAAAATCTGGCACACAAATGTGTTTTCTTTGATTTTTTTTTTTGCGTTAGCAGCTTTGTAGTTTATTTGGTGCGGATCGAGTGATAAAAGCCAAATGTGCGCTTCGTTCCAGGCACCCGAAAGATACAGAGGTTGAGCAGTTGCGTGGAACACATTTGGCAGGCTTTTCGAAATTGACTCTTTGGACTAACTGAAGGTGATTAATGAATGCGGAGAGGGAGTGGAGTTGGTTGGAAAAAGAAGAGTTATACGGTAGTTAAAATCTGCCTAGCACGCGAGAGAAAGAGTTTGCAGTCGCAGTTTGAGTGAAATGTTTTGCCGTTGGCATTGAAAAACTTCTATAAAATAAAAAAAGGGGGAGGCTTTCCTTGTTGACCCACTTTTGGCAGACAGAAAAATTTATTTGCCTCTGCTGGCCGGCTGGGCTCCCCGAGAATTGTTAACAGCAATTTAGTAGCCATCCGCTTCTTCTTCGGCTGCTAAGTGTATTTTATTGTTTGCCAATTGCTGTTGTTGTCTTGTTAACGCTTTTTATAGCCGCTTTTTGCTTTTGGGCCAACTCTATTTGTCGAGTCTTTCTCTCTCTATGCAGATGTATCTCTCAGATACGTTCATTAACTTGTTTGCAGTTACAGTTCCCCTGTTTCCCCTCGCTGGTGATTTATGCTTTGCCCAGCTTTTGTTTGTATATTTAGACATTTCCTATGTGTTGTCACCTCAATTTTTCCTGCACTTGCTCAAATTTTTAATGCTTTTTTTTATTTTTGACTAATTAAAATAACGAGGTAATTGTGCAGTTATGAGGAGTGTCTTAAACTGGGGGAAAAGTGGAAGATTGTGTGAACATGGCAGACTTCAAATCTCGTTATGACTATGAATATGCATTGGCGCTTGATGAGATACCCACTTCTCTATTTTGTAAAGAAGTTGAAGGCGTGCCCAGGCAATTAGTTTGCAGCTAGGCCCTTCGATAGAAACCTCCAGGGCTATTTTGGCACGTTGTCAGGAGGTGGAATGCTGGGACAAGCAATGACTTAAGGGGAAAACTTGTTCTCCACACCCAGTGCCCATTGAATGGAACAGGGTTCTCTATTTAAGATGGGCTCATAAATAGAATAGGTTACAGGCAGCTTTTGACTTTAATAGTTCGCACTTTAATAGAAGTTGAACGTGTTTGCAAGTTCGTTAAGATCGTGCCTTTCAGAGTCATGACTTAACTGCTATTATTCATAAATGGTTCAAACCCATTTATAGTCTTTGTTTTTGTTTCACTTTTATTAAAAACATTATAAAACCAAGTTGAATTTTTGGATAAATCAATGTGAAAGTTTAGCTGCAGTTCAAGACATTCTTATGTATTATTTTGCATTCATATAATATCATATGATAAATTGTTGTAGGCATAATTCTATAGTCCTTCTCTAGTTATTAAAATGTTTGCTGCAAGCTGCCTTTCTATGCGATTCTCATTCAATCAACCTAAGTCCAAACCAATTCATTGGAAAATAGTCCATGAATGCTCGTTGTTTATTTTTTAAACCTCGATGTATATAATCCATCTTTAAACTGTACTCTCCCTATCTAATTTCCTTTTCGATCTGTCAGTCTAATTCGTGATCTTTATACCATTCTTTCCCAACACACTCTTTCGAGAGCGCACTCGTCTAGTTGACTTGGCTTGTTGGATGTCATCCATCTGCTTGGTGTTTGTGTGTTGCAGCCAACAAATAACAAATAAGGGAAAAACTTGTCAGCCTCGCACACGTTTCCTTCTTCTTCTGGCTTTGGATGGCTTCTTGGAAAAGCGGGGCCAGCGCAAGAATCTCTTCTATTTCCTTGGGAAACATCTCCGGCATTCGAGTGCGTTGTCTTTGATTCTGATATCAAGCTTGGAGATTCTGGTCGCTCTCGTTTCGATGAGATGGGATCTTTTTAAAAGGTAGTCGTCGCTCTGTGGTCCACTTTAAGCATATGTTTTTGAGTTCGAGGCGCGTGCGAAGACCGCAAATCGATGCAGGAAATCCGATTTGTGGTAAAAGTTTTTCTTTTTTTTTGCTCCCCTAGATTTTTTCAGCTGAGTTTTGCTTTACTTTGGCAAGTTGCCGTTTAAAGTTGTTGCACTAAGTAGAAATATGTGCAAAACGGTGGTTGTGGGGCTTCTGGGAAATCAAAGCCGGTGGTCTCGAAAGGCGAAAGAGTGGGATATTGGCGGGCGAGAGGTGCCAAGTGTTAAGGGTTGCCGGGGGTTAATAGTCGTTAAACGTCAGCGGGGGTCAGTGGCTTACCAGGGTCTAAGGATACTTGAGATGGGAAGTTCGGTTGGAGTAGGGAAGATAAATGGTAAAGACAAGCTATTGGAGTACACAGTTGACTTGAGTTTAGATTTTAGCCCTATTTTGCATCTATAAAATTATTTTAAAATGTCAAGTATTAAAAATAAGCCAATGGACTTTATTTTTTTATTCCGCGGATCAAAGAGGTATCTCAATTCTAAATAAGTTTTGGGTTTCCATACTGAAAGCCATTGAACTAAAGCAAAAATCGAACATGATTCAAATGACAAATTTTAATGAAGATTATTAATCCACAAATTCAAAGAGGTATCTCACGCCCAAATCGGGATCCGACAACTCAAGTTATGGGTTCTAGAAGTGCAGTTTTGGGTTCCCATACTGAAAGCCATTGGAATTACAGAAAAATCGAACATGAAAATGTGTCATATTTGAGACTCTCGTTTAAAGGATACATTTTAATGTAGAATAAAAGAGAATTTAACCACAAATTCATGGAGGTATTCCATGTCTCAATCGGGATCCAATAACTCGAGTTATGGATTCTAGAATTCCAGTTTTGGGTTCCCATACTGAAAGCCATTGGAATTTCAGAAAAATCGAACATGAAAATGGGTTAAATTTTTGAACCTCGTTTAAAGGATACATTTCAATGTAGAATATTAGAGAATTTATTCACAAATTCATAGAGGTATCCCACGTCTAAATCGGGCTCCAATAACTGAAGTTATGGTATCCAGAAGTGCAGTTTTGGGTTCCCATACTGAAAGCCATTGGAATTACAGAAAAATCAAACATGAAAATGGGTTAAATTTTTGGCCCTCATTATAAAGGTAAATTTTAATGTAGACTTTTAGAGAATTCAACCACAAATTCATAGAGGTATCCCATGTTCATGTTCGGGATCCAATAACTCAAGTTATGGATTCTAGAAGTGCAGTTTTGGGTTCCCACACTGAAAGCCATTGGAATTACAGAAAAATCAAACATGAAAATGGGTTAAATTTTTGACCCTCCTTTAAAGGATAAATTTGAATGTAGAATATAAGAGAATTTAACCACAAATTCATAGAGGTATCCCATGTCAAAACCGGGATCCAATAACTGAAGTTATGGATTCTAGAAGTGCAGTTTTGGGTTCCCACACTGAAAGCCATTGGAATTACAGAAAAATCGAATATGAAAATGGGTTAAATTTTTGACCCTCCTTTAAAGGATACATTTGAATGTAGAATATAAGAGAATTTAACCACAAATTCATAGAGGTATCCCATGTCCAAATCGGGATCCAATAACTGAAGTTATGGATTCTAGAAGTGCAGTTTTGGGTTCCCACACTGAAAGCCATTGGAATTACAGAAAAATCGAATATGAAAATGGGTTAAATTTTTGACCCTCCTTTAAAGGATACATTTGAATGTAGAATATAAGAGAATTCAACCACAAATTCATAGAGGTATCCCATGTTCATGTTCGGGATCCAATAACTCAAGTTATGGATTCTAGAATTGCAGTTTTGGGTTCCCATACTGAAAACCATGGGCATTACAGACAAATCGAACATGAAAATGTGTTAAATTTGTGACCCTCGTATAAGGATAAGTTTTAATGTAGCATGTTAAAGAATTAACCACAAATTCATAGAGGTACCCAGCGTTGGAAATAAATCATTGAGCAATTCTTTGTACGTTGATCCAGGATATGCAACAGTTAATAAATTTTCAAACAAGTCTCTTCTTTATCCTTACCTCGTAAAAGTCAATGATTTAGATTTATTTGTAGGTCAACACCGTCAAATAAAAACTTAGTGCAAGTCAGCCATTACATATACTCGTGACCACTTAATTGAATTTATATCTTTAATTTAACTCTATAAACAAATAAATGAGAAAGCCAGGATACTCGAGAAAAGGCTTTATTCCAAGGCACTTGCAATTGAGATTTCTTTTCTTTGAGATAACCTCTTTTTTTTATTTTTCTGCCTATCTGCGCAGCTATAACTATCATCATTAAAGCAAATCCGCAAAGCCTCTAAGACAATCTGATCGATTTATGCAAATGATACTCTAATCTTCGGACGTGCTTCTTCGCCATCACGAAGAATAACAATTCGTCATTATGGCAAACAAAGATCGAAGACCAGTTTTCACCTCCATCTAATGATGTTTACCTCATTTATCCTGATCCGCTGTGATCCGCTTGTAATCAATCCCCATCCCAGCCAGGGGCAAGTTCAAGTTGCCAGTTCTCCAAAGCGATCTCCACGGTTCCTTTATAATCTCGAGTTTCATCCTTTCCACTCCACCTGGCTTGAGTGGGTGGCTCAACATAATGGGGGGATCTGCCGTTATTCGGCTGTATCCCGGCTTAAGCCACAGCTGCAAATAAAATAAGAGTCGACTTCAACACTCGACTTGGTTTAATGCAA